AAAATAATATACACTGAAAAGAACGATGGTTAACTTCAAATTTTTAATTACAATTGGTTTATATTTATTATAAATAACTATATTGAAAAAAAAAAATCTAAAGGCAAAGCTATAATAAAAAAATATATAAGAAAAACGCAGACACACTGCAATTTATGTGACGTAATATAACAAATAAATGTGTTCAATAAGATAAGATTATTTCTCAAGCCAGACCAAGGTCATCGAAGCCAGTCTTATTTACTTACATATTTTACTCTTTTCTTATATTTTTAATATTAACTGTAGATTTCTTCGTAAGGGAATCTACATGATACGTTTTCACTTATTATCAGTCAGTATCTATTTGATTTTTAGGTAGGTACGCTCTATGCGGTATTCAAAATATCGCTTGTTACATATATTTGCAATTGGAAACTTAACATATGAAACACATTTGTCGTGAATAAATTTAAAAAAAAATTAATAAATAATTATTGGAGGAAGTTAATCGACTGTTCTACATATCATGGGTGATAAATATTCATTATAAAGTTTTCATTCATACCTACATTTCAACCCAAACATGTGGATGATCATCAGAGCCTGTTTCGAGCACTGAAGGTATTAAAGTACTGATACTTGTACAAGTACTGCTATATTCTTCAGTGCTCAAAACACGCCCTGACGATGACCCACATGTTTGGGTTGAAACGTCGGTACTGATAAAAACTTTATAATGACTGCGTCCTGAATATTTATCATCCATTAATAAATAATGAAACGACAACCATCATATTTTATCATAATTTACGTTAGGTTGAATACTGGCTTCTGCAACAGTAATATAGTTGTCTAAGAAGCTAATATGTAATGCACTTGTTTAAAGTATAATGCTGTAAGGTTTTGAGACTTGGAGCGTTAACAAGTTACAGAAAAAAATACTTTAAACAGAAGAGACGGATTTCTGGAGGTCAGTCTGGATTGGGGAAAAGGAGCTTAAAATTCGACAAAGAAGTAGGTAGAAAGGAACATACTGGAAATGATCAAAAAAAAAATTAAAGTTGTCTGGTCATTTAAAAAGGATGGATTCAAGTCAAATATCGAAATTGCTAATGGAATATGAGGTAGAACGTATAAGAAATAGAGAAAGAACACGAATAGAAATGCAATGGAGGAAAACATAGCCAAAAATAAATTGACGGAAGAGTAGAAGATTGAGAGAAAGAATTGGAAAAATTTATATGTGAATAAATTATTATTTAAAAAAAAAATTATTTGGGGAATTTAAGAAAAATCGTATTATATGTAAAAAAAAAACAACTAAGGTGTGTGCTTTAGACCACAAGATAGAAGTGTAAAAAGCAACAAGGCGAGATTAATAATATGAAATATAAATAATAAATAATAGCTCATTATAAAGAGGGGGGAGATATGTTAATCCATATCTTCCATAAAACCCTTTAATTTGGGTACGCGGTTTTACTATATCCCTGTATTTTTTAATTATTTTTATAAAATCTTTTTAGGTGCGGGGTGGCCGAATGGGCTAAAGCGTGTGCACAGCACCGCGAGTTGCCCGGCAACCAGATATATGAAGTTTTTTGAGGGACGAAAATAAGTACGAGTTCGCGTCCCGGTGCCGAAGGAGATTTTAAATTCCCCTCCCTCACCCTCCGGCCCGGGGAAATCCCGTATAGCCTAAATGGCGAGGTAGGGAAGAACAACAAAAAAATGTATCTATTGTCTATTTTATTTATTCTTTCAAGCATTTGATCCACCTCCATTGAGTTTTTTACATCATTTTTACTATCTGATTTTAGGTTATTGAATGTGGAATTGAGATATTTAGTCAAATTTTTCAGTTTCCCCATTGATATTACCGATGATAGGACTAAGTGGAGCGCCACTTTTATGTAACTTTACTTATTCATGTATTCTAGGTATATTGTAGTTAGGGTTAATTAGTTTGATAAGATTTTTTTAAGGTTAATAACAAAGTTTATTACATAAAATATAGTATTAACATTAAATCTAGGTAAATCTAAAAATGTCCTTAATGAATTGTATAATGGCTCATTACAATGAAGATGAAACGCTTAATATTATCCTCGCTTATAGTATTCAGATATGATTTTTAGTATCTGAAATATTTGAATCCATATATTTAACTAACCTCGTTATCATTTTCGGTTTTCGACAGTATATTTTTCTTTTTCGCCTCCCTAACACTGCGTCGCGTTAAGATACAATTTTGAATTATAGTTTATTTCATAGAGAATGAAATGCTGAACAATTTCCTCTCATACGGTATACAGGCCTGATTTTTAGTTTATGAGATATTTTAAACCATATGTGAAAACGTTTCACTTAGACGACTACAGCCGATTTTACCCTAGCGTTAAAATCTGACGGATCAATCTAATTCACTCTTCACAAAACGCGGCTTAAGATGTTTTCACATCAAAAAACTCAAAGTTCTCAATATTATCCGTATATATTGTAGATACAATAGCGGTGGCCTTAGAAAGGCCAAATCGTTTTGTCGCGAATTATCAGATAATGATACCAATTTGTACCGATTGAAGCTGTCCGTCCTGCAGAGGTTGTAGTTTGTTCTTGTTCATTCACAGTTCTTTTATTAAGGATTACCAAGCGAATCCTACCTTTTTCATTAATAAATATTTCCCTTTATAGCTTTTGCTAAAAAACGTCCTCATTTTTATTGACCTATGTACCTTCTCTCATTTCGATCACTTCCAATTCTACCATGCTCGTCTTTTATACTTATTATCTTATATCATCTTTTATATTTCCATTCCTCAACACTATATATCAATACCATCTCAACATAGTTTTCTCAAAAGAATAACTGCAAGATGGGGTAACTTTGGGACAGAGAGTAAAATTTGATTGATTCCGTGTTGGATGCACTGTGTTGGTTCAGTCTTCAAAAACTTGTTTTGTGTTGGCATGTACTGCGCTGCTACCTTGCGGTAGTTTAAGAACCCTAGTTCACTACACTCGTTGTGCAGTTAGATTTTATTTATTTCCATTGCTTTTTTCAAAATTCTTGCTTTCATGAAACCTTAGCTTGTGCCTCAAGAGTAGTGTACGTGTAGAAGCGAAGTAAATGCGCTGTTCATACTGACTGAACTAACACAGTGTATCCACCACGGGATCACCATAAATTACATTTTACTCGCTAAAGTTCCCCCTCTTACAGTACTTAGTTCAGGACAGTGGTGCCCATTTCTCTCCGAGACCAATGACACACAAACCTATTCTCCGTTTCCAATACGTTTTATTGCGAACCTGTTCTTAAAAACAGTGCAAGCTAGAGTAGAATTAGAAAAAATATTAAATCGTATACCATAACAATTGCTGTGGTGGTCTCTTCCGTGTTTTCTCCTTGTCCCCTGATTTTAAACTTTTCATTCTGAAAATTCATAACCTCATCAAATGTGCCTCCTGAAAAAGTTTTAAGTCGCTATTTTCACCATGAAACCTCTTCTGGGTACTTGCGTAGTTGCTTTTCGTTATGAATTTCTCCAATAAATATTTAAATATTGAATATTTAATAGTTGACCGTTTCATTATAAAGGAAGGAGATGGTCCGGGGTGGCGGTCATAAATAGGCTAAATAGTACAAAACTATTTTATTAAAAGCCAACGTTTCGTCCTGACTTTGCAGGTCTTCTTCAGGGAGTTGTGTTCCGCTAGGAGTTGAAACTCTTGAAAAAACCTAAGAGTTTAAAAAAAAAAACCTAAGTGAAACTCCTATCTGAACACACCTCCCTGAAGAAGACCTGCAAAAATTTAATAAAATAGTTTTGCCATTATTTAGCCTATTTATGACAGCCACCCCGGAACATCTCGTTCCTTCATTAAATATTTAACTGTGTAAAATAAGGAAAATTGTAGTTATCATTTTGAGAATTAATTTCAAATCTTAGACGGTAAATGTTCATTTAAAATAATATATACGAATAGCAATTTACTGTTAGCAAAATAAATTTTGAAATAAGCATCTATCTAAAATGATATTGATAATTTAAACAATAAATATCTCAAATTTGAATAATGCTTGATAAAATTGAGGAAGATTTATTCTTGTCAAAACTGTTATTTTTACTTTTAAATTTATCATTGTATAATAAAAGGACACAAAATGAATAGAATGTGAACGAAAAAAATTGTGATTTTTTTTCCAAAAGTTCATAAGGGCTTGTTACAAATAGTAAAATAAGAGCGAATCGCTTTTCGGAATAGCCAAAGACCTCCAAAACCCCTTCTGGGTTCTTGCGTCATTGCTTTTCGTTATGAATTTCTTTAATGAACTCCATTGAATATTTAACTGTGTAAAATAAGGAAAATTTTAGTTGTCATTTTGAGAATTAATTTCAAATCTTAGACGGTAAATGATCATTTAAAATAATATATGCGAATAATAATTTACTGTTAGCAAAATTCGTTTTGAAAAAAACATCTATCTAAAATGATATTGATAATTAAAACAATCTATATTTCAAATTTTAATAAAATTCAGGAAGTGTTATTTTTACTTCTGAGTTTATCATTGAATAAGACACAAAACGAATAGAATATGAATAAAAAATTTTGTGAATTTTTTCCAAAAGTTCATGCGGACTTGTTACAAATAATAAAATAAGAGCGAATCGTTCTCTGAGATAGTCAAAGAGCGAAACGTACGGCTCGCGAGTCAGTCTGCCAACTACTGGTCTAAGATATACATACAGCACAATTGAGTGTCTGCACGACTTTTCAAGAAGCATCAAGAGTAAAAAGAAACCATAAAAAATATTCCATACTTAATATTCTAAACGTAACAAAACATCAACAAATGATCAGAGTATGCGTTAAATACATAAAAATAAATAAATGTTAATTAATAAAAATAAATTATTTTAAATCATTCATATATAAGCTTTATTGCATATATTTATTGTTTGCTAAAACCTTCTTTATGCTCAATTTTAATATATTTATTCCTGTTTCAGATGTTCACATGCCGATGGTTACGGCGAGCCGGGCGGGCGATGAGCAGGCTGTCCGTGGAGACCCAGAAAACCCAGAAGAGGCAGAACTCCCAGTTCATCCTGGAGTCTACCCTCCCGCGAGTGACCATCCCTTCCCAGACGATCCAGGATAAGATCTTCGAGCACATGGACAGGTGGCCTGAGCACACAGCATTAGTCAGTAAATATACCATCTCCTTACAGTTAATCACAACTAAACATAGAAATGGTTGGGGATGGTATTTTTATAAGATGTACAAGAAGGTGTTGGGTGGCAATGTCCTTCAGAATAGGGGGGAAAAAAAATCTGTTAGATTTTCTATAAAAGTCAAACTAAAATAGCTTGACACTGAAAGGGACAAGCAAAATGTTTCTATAGGCTTTTTTTAGCCGTCACAGCTTTAGAAATTATAATTAAGTATTATCACTAGAGAAGATCAACCAATAACACGGTTAAGTTTCTCGAACAAAGTCGGGACTTTAGTTAACATGTCTTTCCGCTAGGTATACTAGAATAGTGTCCATAACCCCAACAACATTTTTATTTTATTTAAAACAAAGTAAAATAATTTTATTCTACCCTCTTTGAAATATATTTGCGAAATTGCATTTCCCGAAGGAATTTCATTCTGTTCAAAACATGAGGGAATTTTAAAAACATCATGTTGATGTTTATTTTTTTTTAGAAACACTGCTAGACTTCGTTGTTTAAATTGTTTAATGAGACATAGGATTTTATTGAACATTGTTTGAGGGAAAAAATATACAGAAAATATTTTAGAAGAGAATTATAATGAGCTTTAATGCCTTTTACCTGCGTTATTTATTTATTCTTTAATTAACATTGTTATTTACGTCCATAAATATTTAATGTTCCAATAATATTGTTTAAATTAAAAACTCCTTTTGCTCTTAAATTATTAAATCCGTCTTCTGGAAATTTATTTGAGGTTTAATGCTTTATTTTTAAAGGCCTGAATTGAAATAAATATTTTTATTTATTTATAATGTGCCAGATTTGTTGATGTCCGAATGTTCATTTTGTACTTTATATTAAAATGATATTTCCATTCATCTCTCTAAGAAACGACAGCCCCCACCACCTTCTTGTCAGTTTAAATCAATTGCTTCAATTACACAGGAATTAAAATTACTAGTACCAATTATCCAGTTGCCAGCGTTATGTAATCTTCTTAAAAAACGCATTATAAAGTATTTTGTATGATATAACGTATTCAATATTTCTTGGTGATATTATTTAAATTAATTTTTAATTAATATCATAATAGTTAATGATTTTTAGAAATAGTTGCAACAAATGAAGATTTTTTTTAATTTATTCTTTTAAAAAATATTTGTTTCCACATCATGAAATATAAAATATAAATTTTCGCATTTCTTTAATATTAGAAAATGACGAATAGTGTTTATTTTAAGCATAAACTACTCACAGAATATTACATAGAAAAACTTATGTATATTTCGTTTCTCTATTCGTAGTTGACCTCATTCTTGTAGAGCCTTCTATAATCGATCACGTTATCTATTCATTAAGTCAACTTTCACTGAAGTGGATTCCGTGACAATCTATATTATTTAATTTAAATATTTTCTTTACCTCTTATCTTTTATTAGGTACTTGGTACCGTTAGTGGATCCACCATAGAGGAGGTTTTCGGGCTGAAGTTTCCCTCCCTCCTCAAAAAAATAATAATTTATAAATTTTTATTTGACTTAAAATATCGCAATACATAGATTTTTAAAATTATAATTCATTTATAACTACTAAATGTAAGTCCGTGTCAAGAAACAATATATCTGATATTTTTGTCTAAAAGCGTTGCTTTTTTTTTTTTTCGTTTTATTGCTCCTATATACATATATTTTTTTTTAAAGCCTTCGTGGACCATTTTGTAAGCATCACATTGGTTGTTCATTTTGATTACAGTTATATTTCCCTTAAATATATATATATATATATATATATATATATATATATATATATATATATATATATATAAAATAAAAATAAAATTATAAAAAACTGCCTTGTCTTCCTGAGGCAAGAATACCGGAATCTGAACATATTAGTGTGGTGTAAGATTAGCTCGTTATTTCAAATATTAACCGATTAAATTCTTGAAATAGGCGATCAATGGGTTATTTTAAAACCAAAAGGTTATTTTTGATATGACAGACTGTCGATTAAATCTTTATAGTTAAATCTCACCCAAAATTTGATTAGAGCAGTCATATGAGTCAATTTTTTTAAAAATTGAGTATATGAATATGAGTATATTTTAAAAAAAAAATCCAAACTATTTCATTAAATTCGGTTAAAAGTGATATAATAATTATAAAAATAATCGATGAATTGTTAAAAATTGTTGATAAGAAATACATTTAAACAAATATTATAATTATAAACACCATGTTTATCAAGAATTTTGAATTAATATTTGAACATTATATATTCATTATATTTTAAAAATTAATGTACCAGAATAAATTTACGGGTCCATTTTTTTTTGTTGAGATAAATATGAATAATTAATTTTAAAATCAAATATAGACGTGGCAATTTTATTTTATAATTATTCCAATATTTTATTTAACTTATAATTAAAGAAAACAAAAATTTCATTCTAATAAATATATCATTATTTTTTGGTATATATGCTCTTTTACGACTATAGCCTTTATTTATTATAAACTGGTTTTGTCAAATTGTAACATTTGCCAGAAGATAAAATAACCTTGTTATGAAAAAAAGGAGTCTAAGTTTCATCGAATGGGAGAAGGTCTCTTTTTTTTCTTGTGTGGTGTTCGACTGAGATGTAAAATCCAAGTCCCACCAAACCTCCTCCCTCTCTCTCACTCCTATTTCAAAATGTTAAAACTAATAAAAATTTACTTCACTGACTTATATCAAAAAGGTTATTGAAAATAAAATAAGTAATTGAAGACAGTAGCATATGATCAAACATGATAAATAACTTAAAATTTTATTTACAATTTTTTTTTTATTTAGAAATATAATAATCTGTCACGTGGACAATAATTATAGTGATATATTAACACATTCACACCATATATACAGAAAATATAAAATTAACAAAAGTAAAATATAAATAATAAAATAAAATAAAATATAAAATAATAATCAAAAACTACGTACAATAAAAAATAAAATAACCTAAATATAAGTAAATTAAAATCATAACACAGTCATACCTATATTCAATATATACAATCAGGGGGGAGAACCCCAAGCCAAGCTTCCTCCTCCAACTATAGAAGGAAAAGCAGGACTCCAAGAGATCCCTGCGCTACTCTCTCAACCGCGTCACTGGTGCTAAAGCCAGTGGAGTTTGAGAGAGAGCGCTATAGCCACATACACTCATGTCTTGAGTGGAGAATCCGGCCATTGCCAGAACTCCAAGGTATATTCTACAAAAGATCTGTGGGCCACTGCCGCTTCAACCTTCTAGGAGGATTGTAGGGATGAGTTGAACTAGATAGGGATTGTGCTAGGTTAAATTGTAAATATTTAATCTAGCTTGAAAATGTATAGAATGGTACTTCAGTGACTGATTTTCAAACTTTGAAAGCCTGTATCTCGTAAACTATTGGATTTATCGAGCCTCTTCTGATCTTAAATTATACAATATTTAATCTAGTTTATAAACGTTTAGAATGATTATGTCGAAAACGTGCTGCTTCATGGATAAAATGCGAAAACAGCGAAAATATAGCAGTTTTTGGGTTATTCAAAAGTATGATCGAAAATAGGGAGGGAGACGCCGGGGTCGAAAACATGGATTTTGCATTTCAGATATATTCCATATAAAAAATAAAAATGAACCTTTCACTTCCTTCCAATGCTACTTACGATGTAGAAGCTTATTGGGCTAAAAGAAAAATATATACTTTCAAGATGAATTACCAAAACTATATGTATTCATTTGTACTCAAATCTAGACTTAGGAAACTAAACGTTAAAATATAAGTTGAAAGGAGGTGTTCGAATGAGATAAGGCTCGCCTTTAATATGTTTGTTTGTTCGCTGACGTAACGTTCGAAGCTATTAAGCAAACAGTTCTGCACTAGACAGCACAAGGACGACCTCTCTGACACACCTCCAATATTTAAAATCTGCATTTTAACCTATACCATTAAAAATAACTATAATTACGTTTACATGAGAAGTTACTATTTTTCCTCAGCCCCACCTTTTATTTTTCTGGAATGTGAAAAAATTTCTTTTCATTTAAAGAGCCATCAAAATGATCCTGAGACATTCAAACATGTAGCCTATATATAATACGATTACATAGATATCTTTTTCGGCTCTCAGGAGCGATGAAGTTTGGTGACTGAATATCAAAAGAAAGGGAATTTCATAGAGAAGTAACTAATCCCAATTCCAAATCTTAAAAGCTTGCTACAATTATCATAAAGTTAATTGAAAAAAATGAGAGGTATCTAATGTTAACGTATCGATATGAAATATTGTTTTATTATGTTCAATAATGGATCATTTCAGTCATCCGAAAAATTCAAATACTTAATCCCCTAAAAATTTGAGGTCTTACGTTTCAGGATACGTAGAATTCTAAAATCGAAATTTTTTGTCCGTCCGATCATTTTCCCCGAGACTGCTGGACAAATTGTTATAACTCCGTTGAAATGCTCCCTCCCCTCAAAAATTCAAAAACCCTTTAAAATATGCCCCCTCAAACATATTTGTAGCTCACCTTGCGCCATAAAACCCCCTTCTTGGACCCCTGTAAAGATTCCACTTGAAGGATTGACAAAGTTATACCGATGATTCACCTGGAAATGGTTGTAGTTTGCTTCATTTAGTTATTGGGTTTTGTACCCTTTACAATTGTCAGAATATTTGTGGTTCTCCCTTCTGTATTATTTTTATTACATTGTAATAGAGTTTTATAAAATTTTATTTTTATAATGAAATACTCGTCTCTTTCTCGACAAATTCCCTACAAACATCCATCGTTCAGGGAGCACTTTTTGTTTTTGCAAAAAGACTTTCGTTTGTTTCGACCTCTTTTCTAGGCCCTCCGTTTTTCTTAGTTGACCTTTATAATTTGTTATGGTATTATTATATCCGTTTTACATAGAAAAGAACCAAATTAACAAAAAAATGAAAATAA